TTAATAAGAAGCTCAACACCCCGGCTTCAGGTGCTTCACAAGGCAATCTGAGGTTCAAACCCATTTGGCCAAAGAGGCACTCTTTAATTTCTACAACATTTTCTTGCCCTTTCAGTATAAATACATGACAATTAACACCTTTGGGAAGATTTGAAATTTGTCTCAAAGTCTTTAAAGACAATTTGCAACTTCAATTGATACATTTTCCGACCGCAGGAGAGACGTTACGAGACCCGAGGAACTAATCAAGTCACTGAAGTTGATGTATAAAACAAATTACTAAACCACGATGTGCCCTAAAGCCGAGGGCCAGATGTGCAAATGAGAAATGCAAGGCTGGATTAAAGAACAAATCCAAAGAACAGAAGTCGACATGGAAAAGGGGCCCAAGCAAAGACAAGCTCCAGCATAGTGCAGCAAAGATCACATTGACAGATCTGTTCTCTTCCTAATACCCTGGAAGAAATAATAAAATATGCATAACTTATCGACTGACTACGAAGAAACAATAGTCAGGACAGCTGACGAAATTTTCAAAACCAAACTTTCTAAAACCTCCAACTTACAATACAACTGGTCACTCCGAAGTTTTTAATGTCACACAAATGACTGTTCATTTGTAAGCCCGCCAGGGGGCGCTGTATTATCCCATCTTAACACATAAGATCTGAGCGTTCCAGTCTTTAATGATTACAGTACATAATGTGAACTAACAACTTGCCTTTATTTCCTCCTGCACCTTTGTCCCCCTCAAGTCCCAGTGGTGAATTCATCCACTCCGTCTTTCTGTCCGGTTACAGACGCACGATGACGGCGCCGCGTTTTCATTCTCAGTCCGTCGTCCCTGAGCCTTCCCCCAGCTGACAATAGCTGAGCTGGTGAGGGGACCAGCTCCAATTGGAAAGGGAGAGGGCCCAAGAGGCAGGTAGGTCCCTGGCTTCTACGTCCCCGTCATTCACTCGAGTGCAGACAAAGCAGCAACCTTGAAGGTCAGGACATGCTCTCGTATCTTGCTCTGCAACAACACTCATGCTTCCCTTTGGCACTCCGATCATGTCTTGTTGTGACGTTGTTGACTAGAGGAGGAGCGGGTGCTTGCGGCCGGCGTCCGGGCCTGCACCGCCGCCAGAGCTGCGACGCTGCGCAGCACCCTGTCCGGTGTCCCCTCCGTCCCCGAGCTGCTGGTCACCTCCTGCGAGAGCCTCTGCGACCTCCTGGTGTCCTGTCGACCCTCCCTTTGTTGGCCCCGCTTGTCCTTCTTGTCTCTCCTCTTTGCCCGATCTGAGCTCCGGTCCCTCTCGCGCTCGCTGCCGGAGGAGGCGCCGCGGGAGCGGGAGCCTCTGTGCTCTGTGTTTTGAGAGCTGATGCTGTGGGTGCGTTGGCTGCTGTTGCTGCTGCTGCGACTTCTGCTGCTGCCGCCTCCGTCCCCCTCGCCGTCGCTGCTCATGCTGCTGCAGGCACTGTGGCCCCTGGACAAAGACTGGGCCTCAGTCTCACCTTCCTTTCCCCTCGATGACTTCCGACTCACCCTCTCCTTCTCCTCTGGCTTGGCCCTCTTGTACTCCATGTCCAGGGGTGGAACCAGAGAACCGGGACACTGTCTGGTGGAGCGAGACGCAGGCCGGCTCGACTGATTGGGTGTTGACTGTTTGCCGCCGGTGCTTCTATTATTAGCCAGAGCGACAGAGTTACTCTGAGGAGAAGCCGGTACACTTTTGTTTTTAGGCTTTTGGTTCTTGTCAGACAAGGAGGCAGGAGACGTCCCCGAAGTCTTAGCTGTGGTGTCTTTCCGAGTGGTGTGGCCCGGGGTGTCCACTCTACCTTTCATTGCTAGAAGCTTCGCTGCTGCGTTGAGAGCAGAGCATCTCTTCCCCAGAACTTCAGGCTCAGGAGGGGGGGTGCTGTTTGTTTTACTGTCTTGTGAAGACTGAGATCCCACAGACTTCCTGGTGGTCCTGACAGAGGACGTGTCACTGCCAGACTCTCCGCCCGTGGATGTGTTGGTATTGTTTGACGTGTTTCTCTCGGAGCTGTGCGCAGGTCTCTGTCCAGACCGGTTGTTTCCCTTTTCCTTCTCCTGATCTTGTAGCCTGCGCTTGGCTGAACGAGTCAACCGGTGCTCCTTGCTGCTCTCGCTTTTGTCAGAGTCGGAGGAGGAAGAGGAAGACCTGGAGCGCCTCCTCCGCGAGGCGGCGGCGGAGTGCTCCTGCTCGTCGTCTTCCTCTTTCTTTTCCGCATCCTTTTCCTTTGACTCCTCGTTCCCAGATTCAGAGGTGACGTCCACTCGCCTCCTCTTGGCAGGAAGTCTGTTTTCATACGTCCTCTTGTGGTGAGCTTGACGAGTGAGGGTTGCGGTGGAGCCTCCAGATGACGGTGAAGACGAGCGTGTGGACTCCTGGCTGCTCTGGCGACTAAGTTGCCTTTTCTGTCTGGGAGTTTCCTGCTCTTCAGAAGTTTCCACCTGTTGATGAGGTTCTTCTTTCTGAGACTTTGTTGAATTCTTTTCTCCTCCCTCTGTCCCCTCCTTTTCTGACTCTTTGGTCTTAGAGGAACTCTCCACCTTCCTCCTTTTAGGTTGAGACTTACAGATCTCCAGATTTGTGTCCTCCTCCTCCTCCTCCTCTTTGCTGCTCCTCTCTTCAGCCTCTTCCGAACGTACTTCACAGTCACTTTTAGACGCACACTCTTTGTGTTTGGACTCTACAGATTGTTTCTCAGATGAAACACTAGATGTATCAGTGGAGGGCTTCAGGGGCGGGGTCTCTCTCTGAGCCGGTGCGGACACCTCAGTGGAAACTCTCTTGGATGCAGAGGTTTGTATTTGGGGGGAAATGGCTGCAGGCGTTTGGGAGGTGGACACAGGAGGAGCTGATTTAGTTTCTGTGACTGGAACAGGAGCGGTTGTGGTCGTGGAGACTTGGGCGGTTGCGACAGTGTTTGTCGTAGCGACTGTAACCGACTTTTCTGTTTGTGGAGCTTGTTCAGAATCTGTTTTTATTGACGGTGTGATCTTTTCAGTCTTTTCTGCAGTTGAAGCAGAAGTTTGTTCTTTGGAGGAAGCTTCTTTTTCTGCAGGTGTTGTAACTTTGACAGCTTCCTTTGGAGGTGATGAAGTTATTGCGGCTGTCGTTGCCTCTGAGGTTTTAACGACGCTGGTGGATGTTGTCGGGCAGGGAGTGCAGACTGGACCAGGTGCAGGGGCTGATATTGGAGACAGGACAGCCTCTGTGGTTACATTTGCCGGCGTAGCAGCTTGCACCGGTTTGGTTGGGACTTTGGTAGTTGTCACATTAGTTTGGGCCGGAGAAGATGGCGCTGAAGATGTGGTGACTGTTGCTGCGGGTGGTGTTGCGGAGGCGATGGCTGGGCATGTGGTTGGAGCTGTAGTTGTAGGTTTTGTTGTGTTTAATGGGCTCGTTTGCACCGTTTTTACTGGAAGTGTCGTCGTAGCGGTTGTTGGGATCGGTACACTTGTTTCGGCTTCAGTTGTTGTCGTGGTTGTTGCTGTTGTAGGGGGAGATGTTGTGGTTGGTTTTTGTGAAGCTGATAAACTTGAAGCTGGGACAGATGTTGGAGTGATCGTTTTGAGCGCCGGCCGAGCAGGGGCTTGGGGCAAGACGTTTGCAGCAGTTGTTTTAGTTGTTGTGACTGGTTTCACTGTAGTGGTGACTGCTTTCACTGTGGTTGTCAGTAGTGTCAGAGCAACTGCTGTGGAAACTGTGGCGGTCTGGACAGCATCTGGTTCTGTTGGATTCAAAGTTGTAGAACCTGAAGGTTTTGGATCTTTAGGAGCGTTAGAAGCTTCAAGTGTTGGTTTCACATCTGGAAGAGACGAGGACACGGTGCTGGCAGCTGGAGTTGTGGTAGCAGGTGAAGCGGTGACAGCGGCAGGCGTGGAAAGTGTGAGGGAGGGTGCCGAAGAAATGTGGGCTGAAGTTGAGTCAGAGCTTGGAGCTGTAGCCGTGACTTGGGTTTGGGCTGATGTTGAGGCAGCTGTACGGAGGGGTGGGGTCGCCTGCGGTGCAGGTGGAGCTTGGACTGGAGCTGAGACTGGTGTGGACACTTGATTCGTTTTTGTTGTGGAGGCTGGAGCTGGTTTTGGAGCAGTGGGTGAAACTGGGGCGGAAACCTCAGTGTTAGTGTCGGTTTCCTCAGCTGAGGTAGACTGAGATGTCAGACTTGTGCCGACAGCAGCAGCTTTAGGAATCTCCGACTTGACGGGAGCCGGCGCCGTTAGCTCTGTGCCAGCATCAGTTTTTAATAAACCAGATACAGCAGAAGTGGCGGTCTCTTTTTTAGAGTTCTGTCCTTCACCAACTGTATCTGACATCGTTGTGGAGTCTTTTCTGGGACGACCTCTCTTACGTTTCGGGGAGAGAGGAGGGTTCCCTTCTTCACTTGGCGAGGTGGGCTGTGAGGAAGGACTCACCGTGTTGTCAGGCTCAGGTAACTTCAGGTTAGTCTTAGGGGGCCGGCCCCTCTTTCTTTTCAAAGGTGTCACAAGAGAGTTCACATTGGACTCTGCAGAGGATGAAGCAGCGTCTTTGCCTGGTGCCGTGTCAGTTTTTCTGGACTGGTTTCCTCCCCGTCCTCTACCCAGTTGCTGCTGTTGCTCTACCAGCTGTGCGGCCATGCGAGATTCAGTTTCCAACCTGCGTCGCACGGGAAGATTTCTCAGCACCGGCATGTCAGGGGAGAGATGGGGTGGGGAATATGGAGGATAACTTCTGACGGGCTGTTGGGGCACAGACTGATTTGGGACAGACTCTTGGTCCTGAGGAACTGCCCCTTTAGTTTTTCCGTCAGGGCTCGCTGATGTATTATCTTTGTTTGATTCTTCAACCGGACCCGCAGTGGTTTCCTCCACTGTTGCCTCCTCCGAAGAACATCCACCTCCAGTGCCGCTTCCACGCCGCCTCCTCCTTCTCGGCTCCTTGTCCTCCACCACCGTGACAAGCCTCCCTGGAAGCTTTCGCAGGACTTTGGCCGATGGAGAATCTTCAACAAGGCCCCGCAGGACTTCGCCATCTGCTGACTGACGCTTGCGAGGCGATCTGGAGCTTGTGGAGGGGGGGGACATGGCATTGTGATCTTTGCCATCGTCGTCTTTTGTCTGATGGTCCACTTGACAGCTGGATTCAAGCGATGACTCAGACACCCTCCTCTCATCCTCCCCCTCCTTCTCCTCTCTGTCTGCTTTGGAGCTTTTACCGTCAGTCTCTACGGCACACTGTTGTTTTCGTCCAGGGGGGGAGGCTGTGGGAGGCGAAGGCACTGGACTGGGATGGGAGCGGTTTGGTAGAGTCCTGGTTTTGGTGGTCTGGTTATCTCTGGCAGGTGATGAAGCTTTTAAAGATTTGGCGGAGTCGTGGAGTCTAGTTGATGAGGAGGATTTTAGATGGTCTGTGCGGGACGGGGTGGTAGACACAGAACCAGTGTCTTTGGCAGCTCCTCGTACTCTCAGACCAAGGCGGGGTCTTTCAGGCACTTCTCTTGGGGTTGTAGGCTCAGGCTCAGTTTCAGGCGAGGCCCCACGAAGCCGACCACTGGTCCTTGTAGATGTAACAATCTTGTCTTTGTCCTTGGGTTTACGCCCTCGGCGGGCTGGAGCTGGCTGAGCGGGCTCCACTGACGCTGGCGGTGATAAAAAGTCGTCGTCGTCATCATCAGATGAAGCGTGAAGCTTGAGGCCTTCCTCCTTGGCCTGGTCCAGTCCCTTTCTGGCAGCCTCTACTTGCTCCTGTAGACAAAAAGGCAATTTGGTTTTCTTAAACCTGCTGAACTGTCAACATCTTAATTTCAAACAAAACAGGATGGAAGTTAAGAAAAGGCCTCACCTCAGCTTGCTTCAACTCCTCTTTACAAACATCTTCTAAGGAGGCTTCCAGGAAGTTCATGGCGTAGCGTTCGATGGGAGTGAGCTACAGGTAGGAAGAGAATATGATGTGTCAGCTGAGCACAAACAAAGTGTTCACATAGAATCCTAATCTAAAGCAGAACGTGATCCTGAAAGATGTAAAATACCACCACAGACCTAAACTGTCACGTTATTATTTCAGCTTTTATGAGGAACTTTATACAAATGTAAAATATAAAACACATGTATATTCCAGCCCTTCCAAGATTATTCACCTGTTCCACCAGAGCAGCTATTTCCTGCTCAGCCTTGGAGAGCTCCTCCACCTCCTCCTGTTCGCCTCCGTCGTCCAGCGGTATGTTCTCATTGAACTCGGCCAGTTCTGCCACCTGTTCCGCTTTGGCCTGAGAAGCTGCTACGATGTCCTCCTCGTCCTCTGCGCGACACAGGGCCTGGAAGAATCATACCAAGATGATCTCATTATCTGTATTCCAAAACACCTCCAACTCAATTCTGTCAATCGGGCTGGAAGCTCGCAGCAAATACAGCAGTTAAACAAACCTGTTCCAGAATGGTGGTGCTCTGTTTGGTGCTGGCTTCTTCTTCCTCAGCTTGCGGCACGGAGAGCTCCACCGCCGCCTCTCGTTTCTCTCCCTCATTCATATCAAACAGCTCTCGGATGGTTTGCTGGGGGACAAAATGTAAATGAGACGCTTACAACGGTTCTGTGTACAGAAAAAAGAGGCAATTACACGTCCTCATGATCTCACGTTATCACCACAACCTTCTCAAAACAAACTGCAGTACTAATGGTGTCGTTTACCCCGAGCATTAATCAGGAAATGTCAGCGTATTCAAAAAGTGTTTTTACTATAAAAGGTGGTTTAATTAAAGGAGCGTGTGTTTGTACAGTGATTCATCATCACAACATAAATACATTGCTGATGAAAAGCATCAAATAGTCAGAAGCCTCCAGAGAAATAATGAGGATCCAATATGACATCAATATCTAATTTATGGAAACTTCCCAGTGAATGATTCATTCGTGCAGAGTTGCCGCCGCTGTATATTTACCTGTTTGAAGAAGGCAGTGGTGAAGTTTCCTCCTTCAATAGCCATATCTCCCAGCATCCTCTTCTGATTGGCTTTCTTTAAAATGTTCTCCTCCACTGTGCGCTCACTGATCAGCCTGAAGAGGAACATGAACAATAAACATCAATATGTTGTTTGACATCACATTTCCTCATTACTTTATTAAGGCCACTGCAACAGCACTGTCACCTGTAGATGTGGACGTCTCGTGTCTGACCAATGCGATGGCAGCGGTCCTGTGCCTGGGCGTCCATGGTGGGGTTCCAGTCACTGTCGTAGAAAACTACAGTGTCGGCCCCGGTCAGGTTCACCCCGACACCTCCGCTGCGAGTTGACAAAATGAAGCAGAAGATGCGGCGGTCTGCATTGAAGCGCTCCATGAGGGACTGAGGGAGGAGCACAGAAGATAAGCATCCAGAACGTTTGTCCCAACTTCCTTCTTTCATTTGTGTTGACTTAAAATAAGAAAATATTCAAATATATGGAGGTAACGTGTACAAAAGAATAAAATAATGGTGGTCAAAGGCCACTGTGACCTTTGACCACCAAGATCTTTATTAATCCGTGAGTCCAAGTAAATATTTGTTCCAAATTTGAGGAACTTCCATCCATCCGTCTTGAGATATAACGTTCACGGGAATGGGACAGACGTACAGACGGACAACCTGAAAACGTAACGCCTCCATCCAGCGCAGAGGCATAAAAATGAAATCATATTCTCACATAAGATTTTGTTAAGATATCGTCAGTACAAACCTGTCTCTGCTCCACGCGGGTGCTGCCATCCAGGCGGAGGTAGATGTGTCCATGGTAGTTGAGGAACTGTTCCAGCACATCTAACATACGCGTCATCTGAGTGAAGATCAGCACCCTGTGGCCTCCTGTTTTCAGCTTCCGCAGCAAAGTGTGGAGAGTCTGAAGCTTCCCTGCACACACAAACCAAACGTACCTACCAATCAGCACTTAATATAAATGGTGTTGGAAGAAATGAAGGAGGTTATTTCATAATACTAACACAATAAATCAGCTCTACTGAAGTCACAGAAAGGGTAAGTTAGTGTCAGCGTTCAGAATGTACTTTTCTTTATGACGGTGAATGTTCAAACTTAAACAGGGCGTTAAAATGCTCTTTAAAGTTTCAGGTGTCTTGACAACGTACCACAATCATACTGTATGAGCCTCAGATCTGGGAACTGCGTCCTCATGTAACACTGGATGCGATGCAGGCTGCGAGTGTGCGGAGCGACTTGGGTCGAGAGCATGGAGGAGAAGACCACCTGCTTGTGGCTCAGAGAGGGAGGAGGATGGCAGCAGTGCATGGAGATGGGAGGAGCCTCTACAGGGGGAATCGCGAACGTAAACCTAAAATAAACACATAAAAATACAAGTTAGAGCAGAAATAATTCCCCCAAGTTAAAACTCTTGATCCTCAGGAATGAATAAGTCAGAAAACACATCAGCTGATCACCTGTCTATGGCGTCACTGAGCAGCTCCAGCCTCCCCTCAGTGCTTCTGATGGCCTCTCTCACGGCGCGACTCTGACACAAGTAGTCGTATTTGTTTTGCCACTGTGCAAACAGACAGCTGCTGTGACCCGACCGGCCCCATTCCCCCTGAGAGCTCACGGCGGCTGGGGCGGGACGGGGGCCGGGTAGAAAAGTCAGAAAGTTCAGAACCTCCTGGCCGTACATGGGCTTCGCTCTACAGTGCTGCTCGTTGGCTCGAATGATGAAGTCCAGCCGGCTGTTGTGCTGTTGTTTGTAGCTCTCAGACAGCCACGACTGGAGAAAGAAGATGAACATTAGTCAGGTAAAGAGTTACAATGAAAGTGGTTAAAACAGCATCGATCACACTATTAATCGTCGCAGAGGCAGCATAAATCCTCACATATAAGCCGATAGTGGCCGGTGGCATGACAGCACCAACAAGGAAGCTTGCGAGTAGAGGCCAATAAAAAACAAGTTGAGGATGAAATTACCTGCAACTAACAGCTTGTGTGTTTTTTTTATTTTTTATTTTACATTTCCACAACAATAAATCTTCAATAATTAGATTTTAAACTCACTGAGGTAAATAAAACTATTATCTCTCAACTGATTCAGCGACGTACAAATGAGTGACTAACTGAGATACATTTTTGCTGAGACCTGTCGACGGCGATGATCTAGAGGAACAACTTGCTCACCATGTGGAAAGGAGAGCGAGGAGGTGGGCGAGGCACTTTTCGGACTGGGGGGTGGACTTTTACACTCGGCCTCGACTTCGTGGTAGCAGGCGTTCGACTGCTGCTGCTGTTGTCACTCGGCGTTGCTGAAGACTTGGGTGCAGAGGACGAGGGCGTCACTGGAGCTGAGGGGACGATAGAGGAGGAGGCAGAGCAGGGTCATTATAAAGAACAAATGGAAAAGGGTTTGGTGAAAATGGATTAAATTTCTACTTATTCTCTCGTCTTTATGGAAGTATTTCCTTGATGTACTGGAATATTATTATTACTGTTAGTGTTATTGTGCAGGATGGTGCCTGTGCAGAGTTTGTTAATTGAAGGCTGTTTTCACAATTCAAGTTTCGCTCTGCCCACTTTTAAATATAAGTTTAAGACGCAAAACAGACGTAGACTGAACTTTAAAGTGACGTTTAGCTGCATTAACAATACTTGAGATAAACTAAGACGCAAGACATGAACTGTGAATCTCTATATACATGGTGCAGAGCAAACAGAGCTCTCCTCTACCCTGACCTTATTCTAAAACCGTGATTTCTAATTTTAACTGTGGTAGAAGAGGAGCAGTGTTAGTCCTGTTTAAGTGTGGATCCTTCCCTCACAGGATGAATGTGTTGTCATCCACATGAATGTAAAAATGTATAAAAACAAGTCTGGATTGTTAAATTAACAAAAACTTGTCTAGAGATACTTTCATGCAACCACCTTAACTTCCTGCATGTTTGCTCTTACATGATGCAGGACACACACCTGAGACTCTAAAGCAGATTCAAAGACTTGGATGTCAGGGAAGGAAGAAATGCTTAAGATTCGTTGCAACAAAGATCTGAACCAGTCCTGCCGTGTGTGCATGCATACAGCTTTATGAATAGCTCAGGCTAATTATCTCACCTGGCTTCTCTGCGCTTGATGGAGGAGGCTGCACTACTTTGAGGACAGGGCGGGGGAGTTGGGGCTGGTTCGGGGTTGAGCTGGGGTTTCTGGGAGGAGCTATGGTGTAGTGGGCGGTAGCAGGACCAGGGGTGCGCTGGGCAATTTGCAGTGGAGCAGTGTTTCTGACAGGGGTTGTGCTGGCATGGACGTGCAGGGAAGGGGAAGCCTGGGGAGCAACACGAGGGGAAGGGGCCACTGCCAGGGTGGGCACAGGCCCGCCCTCCTTGCCTGCTGACTGACGCACAACGATCTTCACAACCCCGGTGCTGCTCACGATGGACGAGGGCACTGAGGAGAAATAAAGACATAAGGACGAAGAATTTCTACATACACATACAAACACAGAATATAGTTCTACGTCTTCAGTACAACAATAACCTTTTCTACATAACAGACATTCAGTTTAACTTTATGGAATCTGAGGATTTAACTCTTCAAATAAAAGATATAAAAGAATTATCTTTGTTTAGAGGCAGAAAGTGAAGAAGAGGAAACAAGAAATACCTTGTGCGGAGGCATTTAGAGGCAGGCGGTTTGCAGGGGGAGCTGTAGAGGGCGTGTTTGCAGGGTGGGCGTTGGCAGCGCTCTGTAGCTGTACCTGAGCTGGCTGACTGATGAGGTGGTGCTGCACCCCGCTGGACACCAGGTGCATCACATTTCCTGTCGGGTGCATCACAGGATCTATATTAGTTTCATTCGCACTCATTCGCTGTTCTCAGACACGTTTTGCAGAGGAACACATGCACAATGCAGCCGGAGATTCTCTGCACAGATGCATTCACAACAGCAACAATTCCTCAGCATGATTCATGTGAGGGGTGAGAGGCAGGTGATACCGAAATAATTCCACGATTCCAGATCACGTGATTTTATTTACAGCACATCGACACGTGCGTCGGCTCTCATCACCAAAAGCTTTACGATGTGTACTAGAGTAGCTATGACTACTTCAGTATTCTTGGGCTCCACTAAACTGGCTTCAGGACAGAAGCAAAAGAATATCAATATATAAATTGACCCAGTGAACTTCAACTGTTTGAAAATATTTATGAATTCTTCTGGTGACTCGAGTTCCTACTGGAGCAGCTTGATTTTACATCTCAACAATTATTGTGGTCGTTCTTATGCACGTGTGCATCACTCATATTGTCAAAGACGCTCTTAAAGGACAGCACAACAATGTTAAAAGGAAATGAACAACAAAAAGGACAAAATTATACAACCACTAAATGTTTTGGGTGCATGAGAAAGTGATTTACACTCACAGAAAATCTGATCAACTTAATTCACCTGGATTCTAAACAAAACACGTCGCACACTTACCTTGAACAGGACGTGGAGCAGCAGCTGGGACTTGATGGATCTGCGCTCCAGACAGAGTCAGCTTGTTGCCCTGGAGCTGGAAGGTGACGGGTTTACTGCCCTGACACGACGACACAGGTCGACCTGCCAAGGAGGCAAGCTGGGCTATACTCACTACCTCACCAGCTACGGAAGAGAATGAGAGCAGTTTTGAAGCTAGGAATTAAATATTAAATGAAGTTTTTAGGATATAATGGCACAATTATCACCAACTTAGAAATTGATGCACCAGTAAAAAAGAAATACTACTTACAAGGTAACCTGGCCTGCATATCTGGACTGAGCAGGACCCTCTGAGACATGATGGCGCTGGGGTTTGGACTCGGATGAGCAGGAATGCTGGCAGTGCAGGGAGCGGTGGGAGGCCGTACGGTCAGCACTGGCTTGGGCGTGTTGGACCTCACTGCAGTTTGAGTTGCAGGATGCATGGATGGGCGGGGAGGAGGGGCGGAGGCCACAGAACACACCACTAAAAAGGAGGAAAAATAAGGACAATGAGTAAGAGAACAGGGGGACTGACAATGGAGGCATGAAACTAAACCAATATGTCTGTTGCCTATTGGTTTATGCTGAAAGTAGTAGAAAGTATTTCTGCTTTTCAGTCTTTTGTTTGAAGTCATTTTATCCCTTTCACGTGCCTTGTTGAACGACAGGAGCAGGAGTTGAGGAGAGCTCAGTCACTGGAGGAGGTTTTGGGGTTTGAGCTGCAGGAGGCACGGAGCAGGTTGGTTTGTTCATCAGTAGGGACGCTCTAGTATCACCTTTAGGAGGTGGCTGGAACATTCTAAAACAGACAGAAATAGGTTAAAGATCACTTATAGTTTTCATTTATTGAAACACATGCAAGTTCTGGAAATCACAAAAGCGCTAGCATGAGACTAAACCACTTTGCTCATTCCACCCTTCCCTGTCACTACTCTCCTACACTGAGCCCAGCACTGGAAACGTCCACTAGAGGTTAATAGTAGCATGTAGCCTACGTACAATAGGAGTAGAGGACCAGAAGTAAATACTGAAGATACAAAAAGAACGAGTACCTGTTGACCTTCATGCGTACTGGTTTGGGTCTCGGAGGGGGTTCAGGGGACTCCACAATCTCCTGGATAAGTTGGCGGCTGACCTTGTGGCGCGGCAGGAACACGTCTGCCTGGTACCGGGACACGCGGCTTTCCAAACCAACAAGGTCAAACGAAGACAGGTCGCAACGCTAAGGATGAAAATTCAATATTTTTGTAAACGCTGCTTTGCTCAATAAGCCATTTCTGACCAAATAAAGTTTTTTCAATGTCCCTTAAATGCTGACCTTTAAAGGAGACACCTCCAGGGCATCCTGCACCAGCGAGGCCGTGTGGAAAACAATGGGCTTCGTGATGAAGGGAGACTGGATGGGTCGGGGGTCAAACAGGTTGGGGTGGTTGCACACTTTGCGAAGCTGCATGAGGATGTTAATCACTGACATGAAGTGACCACTAGCCAGCGTTTCCCGGGTCCTGAAAATAAGAAAGACAAGACAATGAGACATTGCTGGTAAAATCTATAATAGAAGTATTAATAATATTCAATAACAAGTAAAAGTATTCATTCATCTTTAGAGTTTTGATGTTAGTTTGGAAAAGCAACAATACTAGTTACTGCACTGCGGTTGCAGGCCTCTGCCAACTAGTGCAGTTTCCATGTCCATATTTCTACATCATTTTTTCCCAGATTTGTATAAAGGTCACTGTGACCTTTGCCCTTTAACCACTGAAGTAAAATCACTTCATGAGTCTCAAAGACAACTGATGAAAAGTTGAAGAAATTCCTCAGACAACTCAACAACATAATGCCTCCAGCCACGATCTGTTCACCGGATCATTTCCAAATTCTCCTTCTGAACGTGAAAATGTGGAAACTTACGAGGCCTGAGCCATGAAGTCGTCGTAGAGGAATCGTTGTCTCTTGGAGAGGCGACAGCGAACCACATGTTCATATTTCTTGGGCATCTGCTTCTCGACATCGATCTTGATCCTCCTGAGCAGAAAAGGCCTCAGCACCTTGTGGAGCCTCTTGACCAGGCCCTCGTTGTACTCCTGACTGCCCTCGATCATTCCCGTCAGCGGGTTGGAGAACCACTCTTTGAACTCGCGGTGGGACTGGAAGACGTGGGGCATAAGGAAGTGCATGAGGGACCACAGCTCCATCAGGCTGTTCTGCAGAGGAGTTCCTGTGAGCAGCAGTCGCCGGTGGCTGTGGTAGAGGTCAGAGGATAATGTTAGATACATGCGCCAAGATTTATATATCGTGAGGATTTTCAGAAGACAGAGGAGACAGCAAAGCATTCGTAAATGCACTTGGAGGCTCGACAGAAACAGGAGGAGCAATCTAAAAAACAATGTGATACACGATTCTTGCTTGAATCACTGATTCACATTTTCCACCCACAATCCAGATTTCCCACAAGAATAGTGGAGAAGTGATTATCTCACTTTATTACATCAGTGTGCAGTCCTTTTTTAGGAAAACAGACAAATACAACTAAACAGGGCAAAGACAATTTAAAATAAAGAACTGATAGATTAAATGTTCTGGAAATTACACATATTTGAATTAAAGCAGTCATTTCCACCTCAGCTTTACTTTTTCTCTTCTACTGCTTTCACAGAGAACCATTTTACAAGTTATCCATTTTTTATGAAAACAAAATTTAAACTTGAGCTCCTTCAAAGCTACATCCACCACTTGAGACGAGCAGCACTGCAAGAGTTTGTTTCGTACATGAAAATGTGTTTGATATTCCTGAATCCAAACTTTTAACACGAGAGAAAGGCAGCAGACACGGCCCAGCTTGACGACACTGCGTCTTTGGATTGCAGTTATTTGGTAGAGGCTTTGGTCCGATGCAGCCGTTTCTCTCTACACTCATCTTGACGAGTCGTTCAAGGAGATTGTCCTTTTAAGTAAGGACCTTTAAATTCAATCAAGAAAGTGGGAGAAAAGTCTACGACGTGCCCAAAAGATGTATGAGTTGAATCTTACCGCATCCTCCCACAAACGTATGCACTGCTTTTGATTTGACTCATCAAAAGAATTACTCATTCAGTGCTGCTTCTTCAGAGGATACACAGCACCCAGATCTACTGACCTGTTGAAGTTCAGCAGACTCTGCCAACGCTGAGACTTGAAGTTCTTGATGTTTTGAGCCTCGTCTAAGATCAGGTACCGCCAAGACTTGCGTCGAAAGGCCTGATGATCCTGGAGCACCAGCTTGTATGACGTGATGCACACGTGGAAAGCATTAGGTTTCGTCCAGCCCTGAGAAAGGAAAAGGGAAACAAAAGGTTTTTCATGTGAACTTTTTTTTCCTACTCTGACTTCAGCCTATTTTTTTCATTTTTATATCTGCCAGATATATTCAAATAAAATTCATCAGCTCAATGGAAATGTACAAACTGCAAAATAACACTCCAGAGTCAGTCAGCTGATTACCTGTCTCTTTAGCTTTCTCTCTTTTTGGCTGCCAAAGTAAGTGAGGATTTTAAACCCGGGACACCAGCGCTTCAGCTCCATTTCCCAGTTTAACATCACACTGGTGGGGACGATGATAAGGTGAGGGCCCCAGTTACCTAAAGACAAAAGAACAACATATCAGCAACTGAAGGTAAAAGAAGCACAGACAGAGTTCAACTAATGTATAAAGATTATTGAAAACAAAAGTACAATAACTATGAACTAAAACAAACTGCGGCATGTATAAGTAGCACTAGAAGCATAATGAGTCTGGCTTTTACCTTTTTCACAGGCGAGGTGAGCTAGCAGCGCGATCGTCTGGATGGTCTTTCCCAAACCCATCTCATCAGCCAAAATACCATTAAGCTTTTTCTCGTACATAGTGACCAACCAGTCGAGTCCAATGTGCTGGTATTCTCGTAACGTGCCGTGAAGCAGGAACGGGATGGGAGTCTTGACCTTTTATAGGACAAAGTGATGAAGTGATGAGAAATTTATGGTCCAGAACTGCACAGTATTAAATATTTAAACAAAGATACGCACAAAAGTACTTGTGTTTTTACAATACTGCGGATCTTCAGAATGAAGAATGAAAGTTTTTTACTCACTATTTATAACTTAAAATCTCTTCAACCTGAATTAATTCAAATATTCACGACTGACCTTCGTTGTAGCCAAAGTGTAGCCTTTAGGCTGCAGACTCTCGGCAGTCGCAGCGATGTGACTGATTTCTTTCTTTGGTCGCGAACTAGAGGAAGGTGGGCTACTATCTCCCTCCTTTAGCAGGAGCTCCATCCCTTCATCTCCACAGTCATCCCCATCCTCCTCTTCCTCATTCTCCTCTCCCTCCTTCTCACTGTCGTTCTCCTCAGCACTGTCTCCTTGTGAATCTGAAAGATAAATGACAATCAATCATTTAAGGAAATATTTCCCATTCAAACAAGTTCCAAGACCTCATCAGCATTTTGAACAGATAAATAACTGATGTGACATTAGTTTTGATTCCCTCTTCTCTGTGAGCGGGTTAGTACCTGAGGAGGAAGTGTTGCTTTCGACATCACTCTCATCTTCTTCGGTCTCCTCTTCCTCATCCCCAGACACCTCGGAATCAGAGCTCGCTTTAGAGCCAGAAGCAGAAGGTGCCTCGAAGTCTGAGGCATAAGCTCCTTTGTACTTCTCCAGCAGCTCCTCCATCGTCATGTCGCCTACAAGTAGAGCAGAGACATGTCAGGGTAGAGGTTCACACATCAAAATGAAAGAATGAATGACTGAAATGCAAAAAACATTGATGCTTAAGACATTGAAAATTCAATCAAACACAACTGTAAAATGTTTTCCGAGGTTTCTGTGGGATCATTGACTAAAACATCACACGATGAGCTGTTTATTTACAGGAACAATTCCTTTTGTTATAGAAGCTTCATTAAATTTAAATCAATTTAAATTTGAAGAAAAATATCTAGTCATGACCAAAATAAACATATCAAACAAAAGTCTGGCTCTGAAAGAAATGTTTTAAATTGTTTGACTGGACACCAACAGAGAGCTGGTATCTGTCATCAAATGGATAAAATACCCCCTTAAATATTTCTGTGTGATTTTGCAAACGTTGTCTCAACAGCCCGGAAAAAAACAAGTCTACTCGATACAAGTGTTCACTCTTTTCTATTATCCACCAATAATAAAAAAGCACCCACCTTCTTTTGCTAGATCATCCAACTCCTCAGCATGATTTACGTTTCCTTCTACCTTCTCCTGGTCTGCTATCGTGTCCTCCTCATCCTCAGCTGAAAATGAGAAGACACAGAAAATAAATACTCGACCAACAACAATTTCAAGGCATTCAAATCAAATACTGGTGCATGATTTTACTCTTATTTTAGTATAAGTGAAGCATGTTCCAGTACTTGTTGAGGGTTTTCCCCCTCACATCTTATATTTAAAATCTTACCATCCTCTTCATTGGCAGTGAATTCCCCATCTTCCTCCTCCACTGATGAAGAGGTTTCATCAGAGCATTCTTCTTCTGAGCCCGACTCCTTCAAAGTACAATGATTCTGTGATTAAATGACATCCAATGATATATCAGAGAACACATCCCAGTGTCGGCAGGTTTGCGTGGGTACCTGTGGCAGTTTGAGGGTGCTGAGTAATTGGTCCAGGGGCAGCATGCCCTCCTCCTTCAGCAGCTCAATCTCCCTCCGATGGCTCTCAGCATCATTGCCCTCCTGCTGCTCCTCCACGTCTATTGTCTCCTCGTCATCCTCTTCCTCACATGGAGGCTCAAAGTCCCTATCTGGATAAAGAAAAGAGTTTTTAGGGGATGAAAAAGTGCAAAAGGACAGAAAAAAATGAATAAACAGATATGTCTCGTATCTCTATTTGGGCTCAAAGGGTACAACACAAAAGCTCATACATCTGAAGGCATACTCTTCAAAATACAAGTTAGAGTTTCAATACAGAGATTCTGGAGATACACAGATTCTGGAAAACTGTGTTTGCACTTCAGCACCAAACTGTGTTAGATAATAAAATGAAGGTGGGGCTGCTCTCCTGACACACAGATATCCACCACTTCCTTATTCTATCTGAGCAAACTCTAACATGAAGGTACAGTTCACATCCACGCTTCAGAAATCCAACTTCCATCAGGGACAATGGACGCAGACGAGTGTGACCAGTTTGACAAGTTTACCGTCTGTTGGTTGACAGGTGTTGCTCGAAACGTTGCTCATGAGGTGTTGTACAGAGAAATGTTTTATAGCTGACTTCACGAGTGGAGCCACGAAGCATTTCAGCCTCAGGTTATCAGGTGGGACTTTCACAGAGATGTGGGAACATAGTTGATTCTCTCAGATGCAACAACCTTGACAATAAAAAGGAGCTTTTTGTTTCCACTGAACCTTCCACTGTGGACTTCTAAGAACTCATTCATTGGTGTGTAGCTATGACAACGTCCCTGTGTGAGCCAATGAATCAGCTCGTAAATCGCTCGTATATGTAAAAGCTGCAGGTTTTCTTTATTACTCACCATCCTCATCGACAGGAGGCAGTTGAGATTTTGGGGGTGTCACAGGGACAGTTTCAGCCGGCCTGGTGGGTGCGAGCGACTTGCTGAGGAGGTCTGAGTATTTCTCTGTCTGGCCAACGATAAAGTCCAGCTGCAGGTCCAAAGCTTTCTTCCTCTTCTCCTCCAATCTGGATTGCTGCTTGTACTGTACCACCTTTATGAAACCAGGTGAAATTCACTTGGTAAATTCAAGAGAAGCTGCACAAAATCGTTTTTACTGCTGAAAAGTGCATAAAGACCATCAAGCACCAACTACACAGCTAAACACTGAACCAGAATGTTTTGTTTACTCTGATTTTGTGAATCTGTACCTTCTCGACACTGCTCCAAAAAGCTCGCACTTCCTTTGCAATGGAAGATGCCACTCTTCTAATTTTAGCGTGCTCGTCTCTCTTGGCTTTTTCTTCTTTTTGCCTCAGCTCCTCGTGGTGTCGCATCACCATTCGAACCACCTGATAGCACAATAACATATACAGCATTTCAAATCTTATTGTACAACCAATCTTTTAGAGAAGCGAATAAATAAAGTAATATTTAAATATTACATTTCCAAGTGTGTGGACGTGAACAGTAAATCTAGAGTGATTTAACTTAACCCACCTTTCGAGCCACCCCTCTCTTCCATCGCCTCTCTTGGGCAAAGTCAGCAGAGAGCCACTGCATCTCCTCACACAGGTAGTCCCAATGAACTTTGGGTCGCATCGGCTCAGTCAGGCGGGTGAGACGCTTCATTGACCAGAATCCCTCTCGCTTGAATGCCTGGGTTCGATGTTCAATGTCTGCTTCCTGCGGGACACAATCAGGAAGAAAAAGAAAAATCACTACGTAAATCCTGACGACAAACTGTTTTGCAACAGCTGTTTCTGAAAGGTGAGCTAGGTGGTTTAAAAATTTGTTCACTAAGAAAAAAGTATTTCAGTGCTTTACATATATAATATCTGAAGGCTCACTCACATGTTTCGCCAGCTCAGCCATGTCTGTGTGACGCTCTCCACGGGGTCGCTGAGGAGTGGTTGGATCAGGAGAGACAGAGGATGAACTGTAGCCACAGACGGACAGAGGAGAGACAAACTTGCCATGAGGACCCCGGAGAGGTGAGGACTTCTCTCGTCGCGTTATGGCCCAATCGGAAGTGGGAGAGGGGCTGGGGTAGGAGGTGGACGGCGAGACAGGAGATGAATTGGCGGTGACCCTGTCTGCGATCCATTGCCGTACCTAAAGGCCAAAGGACAGAAAGAAAATACTTAAAGAACATAAAGCGGTGAAGGTAAAGACAGTGCTATAGATAAAAGGCACATGCACAAATTAAATGAAAGTGTGTTTTTAAGAAGCGAGTGTGGACATGCTCCAGAATTACAAACTGACCATCAACTGGACAGTCTGTCAGCAGAATTACAATCATAACATAGCGGAAGTCAAAGAAAAGCCTTATGAAGTTACACCAAGTCATGAGTGCCAGGATGTGCCCGAGAATGCCCTGTTAAAAGAGATGCCTATCTGGGTATCTCACAACCAGCACTTACCTTAAGGAACAGTGCCTTTCTGTCTGTCCTGCTCTGTCCATGCTGGAAAACACACATGGCTTAGCATGCGGCCAACTTAAAGAATAAAATCACTAAATAATAAACACACCACTCACACAAGTTATATGAACTACATGAAGAGAGATGGGATAAATGGCAGTGACGCCTTATAGGTAAAACATGCCAGCAAACCTGATTAAATGCAAATACAATCCTAAAAATATGTTTGTCCTTGACAGTTATGTAAAAGAAAACCTGTTCCTAAGGACACACAGTGTGAGCTGACCAACTCCATTGCTGCTTTACTCACATCAATAGTTTTCGGATTAGAAAGTAAAATCAACTTTTCTTAGAGTCAAAGGAGAGACCACACAGGGAATAGATATAAAGTTTAGAGTTTGAAATAATCTCCACAGTCTTGACATTCATGGACCAAGTCTGATGCTTCAGTCATGTGTTTTTATTCTCATGATGAATATGATCCATATCTATCATTTTCCAGCCTCTAGACCCACAACACACACAGGTGTTCTTTCCTCGTACTACTCTGGACTGTAGCTCTAAGTCTACGACACATATTGATTTAATTACCCAACATCCCGTCCTTCATGAAAATACCTTGTGTGATGAGCTGGAACTTTCTGTTTTGTCGGCGTCGGGTTCTTCGTCACTGCCTTCCTCCGGGCTGCTGACCTGCCCTGAAGTGCCCTCTAGAGTATCAGCTTCTCCTGTTTGGTCGTCCTGGTCCATGTCCTCGCTCTCGTCCTCCACGTACATGGAGTCAGGTTGGCTGATGGGGTCAGTAGGGCTGCTGGATGGCGTACCTTTCCTTTCCCCTGACCCTTCAAGCATGTGAAGGGTGTGGGAGGTTCTAGGTGGGGTGGCATCCGTAGGTGTGACATTATCTTGGGTCACAGCTTCACTTGTTGAAGCTTTAGTTACAGTTAAGGCCTCTTTGTCAGATTTGTTTGTGGGAGTCTGGTCATGTTGAAATGTGATGTTCCCGCTCACAGAAGGCTGCACCTTGACAGGCAGAGCTGCTGTCACAGATGTTTTATCGACAGAACACTTCGCCTGGTCGTTCTGGCTGCTAAGAGCCACTGACGCACAGAAAGAATCTGCTGCTGAGTCAGTTTGGGGAAGGCACTCTTCAGACACCGAGCCAGACAGAGCACCGTGGGTACTGGCCAACTTTCCGCCCACATTTTGTTGCTTGGACACCTGTGACAAGAAGGAGGATGGATATTTCAGGAGAGATGTTTCTCCTGGTTTGAGCAGGAGCAGCTTTGGATCTGTGGTACTAGAGGAGTGAGAGGTGTGGAAAGCCTCTGGTTTGGTTTCTGTGGCCATAGCAACGTTCTGAATACTCTGTGATGTAGGCTCTGTCAAAGAAAAGGCTTCTTCTGTCCCTTCATGTGAAGAAACACAGGCCTCAAGCTTTGTGGCATTTAAAACAGTGAGTCCTGGGGTCTGTATTAGAGAGGGCTGATTCTCTACATGGGAAACGTGCACTGAAACAGCGACAGACGATTGCATCGCTACATCCTCACCAGTGACCACTGGGGATATGAGACATAAAGAGCCAACTGTTGCCTCAGTGTCCGGTTTTTGGGGAGCTGTTTGAATTTTAGGAGGATCTCTGAACTCTGTTTGATCTGACACTGCTGCACTGACCTGCGAACAAGTCGTCACAATTTGTGCACTTGTGCCTGCTTGTTCAACAGTGAATGAGTCAGATGTAACAGCAGCTACTTCAACTACACAAACCTCACTGGAGTTTGCCACTTGAACAGCTTGGTTAGGGTCTAATACCAAATGCTGTCTGACATCAGCTACCCTCATGTTTTCTAAGGACAAATTATGGGAATTACTGTTTGAGATATCCTGCAGTTGATTTGTGTCGTGTGATGAAGGCAAGGGTTGCTGGGAAATGATGAGAGTGTCACTGTCATTGACTGTGTGAATAGATGGTCCGAGGTGCATCTCCAAGTCCTGTTTGACATTAAACTCCTCAGAGTTTCCCAGTAGCGCGTTGAAAAGGTTCACCTCATATCCTGGAGAGTGAGGGATCTGTGCGCTGCCACTGGCACAAACCGTTTCCTCGGCAACCTCCTCCACCAGGCCACAAAACTCATACACTTCCACCGGCTGTGAGTCTATCTCCACATCTGCCTGAACCCGTTCCTCATACAGCTTGGGTTCAGAACTCAGCTCGTTGACGATGGCAGCTTCACAGACACTACCATCCTCTCGTTGTACGATGTAACTCTGTTTCAGGTGCATGTCAGACCAGTCCTCGTCGATATGAGCCTCCTCTTGGACAACCACGATTTCTTGAGCATCTCCGGGCTCAGCAACCAGGGGCGTCTCTGTTGTGGGGAGCTGATCAGAGGGGGGAGAGGTTTCTGCTTTAACAACCTGCCCCGCCTGCAGGGAGATTACTATGCCACTATCAAACAGGGGAGGGGCAGCAAAGGGTTTTGAGGAACTATCCTGTGTGGAAGAATTCTCTGGCAGCATTGTGAAGTCAGACGAGGAGACGTCCGCGTCCGTTTGTTCTTCCCTTGTGCTACTCTCAACCTGCTCTCCCCCAACAGAGCTCTTCTGGGTGTTGCCGTCTTCTCTGCCAGCTGTGTCGCTGGACAATAAGCTTGCGTTTCCAGAAGTGTGTAATCCATGAAGTTTTTCTCTTGCCTCTGGGGTCTCAAGTATTTCAGCTGATGGAGGTTGCGTTTCACTGTTAGAGGTTTCAAGAAGCGCCGCAACACTATCAAATGTCTCCACTGATTCAAAAGAATTTGCCTTCTGTAGTTCTCTGGCATCATCTGAGATCGTCTTGATGATTTGAGGTTGTGTTTCTGATGTGTCAATTTGTTTAATCTCAATACTGTCAGTAAATTGGAGCAGAGATTTTGAGTCCTGGTGACCATCAGCTTGCCACGCAGCACCTGACGGAGGGATATGGCTGTCTTGATTTGCGTGGACAAGTGAGTCCCTGTTCGACTGCTCCACAGCCCCATGTTCTGTGCTGTCAGCATCCGGTTGTGGGACAGAGGAAGTTGAGATTTGAGATGAGGTTTGTGGGAGAATATTCCCAACTTTCTGTTCTTTTCCAACAATTTCCATATTTGTTCCAGTCTCTGGTTTATATTCCAATCTGTTGAACTGCTTCTCTTTTGCCTCTGAAATAGCCAGAAGTTCTTCACCTTGTTCAAGTGGTTGAATCTGGTTCGTGTCACAATTTGATTGGCTTTTCTCTTTATCAGTTTGTGACCCATACTGCAGCTCTCTCGCTGTGCTGTCGAACTTTGTATCTGGGGCAAGAGGCGGACATAGGGAAGCTGGAAGCCTTTGCATCTCATCCGAGGAGCTAAGGGATGTTGGCAAGGATCTTGCACCTGCGACAACTTCTGCAACTTCTTCTGAGACACTGTCCGTAGAGTCGCAGCTGATGGGGAGAGACTCAGGCAATGATGTTGGCGGTGCGTTCTCCATGCCAAGGAATGCTGAGTCCTTGCTCTCCTGCAATGGCACGGTGGATGGAATGGTGAGTGGAGGGTCTGGGCGGGGGGCAGCTGCGACCGGCTGCTGGGCATGCCGAGGTGACTCCCCGGCCACATCCTGTGCAGCCTGGGGCTTGTCACCGGGCAAATCCACAGCCGGGGAGGCACGCTGCCGCGCCGCCTCCTCCCCAGAGCTTCCTTCCTCTGTGCTGCCCCGGCTACACACTGCACCTGAGGGTGACAAAGGTTAGGTTATTACCTCAATGTCTGGACAAGGTGGTTAATGCATTGAAACAAATCCGGACATTAGAAAATAGGCAAGTTCACAAAACTTCTCACCTGTCTGTGGTGTGAGACACAGATCTTCTGTGCTTTCTACTTCCAGGATGCTGAAATTAGGGTCCCCGCCACATATTCTGAAGAAGAGGAAAACAAATGGAGCATAAATTATTAAAATAAAATCAGCAATTGCATCTCTCTCACATCACAATTAAAACTGTGCCGTGGTGTAGAGTACATTTACTGTAGTTAAGGACAACTTTAAAGGCTCATTTGTTTTCCCTCCATGCCCGACTCTATTTCTACTTGACGACACTTTAAAACAAAGTATTTACATTTTCAATATACCACATTCACCAGACAGCTGGAGGTACTAGTTATTTAAAAACAAATGTGAAGAAGATCCAGTGAAATATGACTCTTTGTATTTAAACTACCCAACCACACAGGTGCAGCTGAAACAAACAAGTTTTAACTATTTTGATCATTGTCATTATTGATGCAAAAATACCTTCATAAGTTTTACAAATCAAACAAAACAATAGAGGAAACATTTAGAACATTAAATTATACTCATTCAATGCAGTCCTTCACTAAATATTTATTAAATTCCCTTTAAACAGCTAAAAATCCGAGGATAACAAGGGTGACTTTTGCAGTGACGGAACTGATGCTGGAATATAATCGGATGTGCAGTTAGTAAACAAAGTGATGACAATGTGTGGGACGGTGAGTGTCACATGCAAACACTCGGGCGAAAGCTCGACTTGTGCTTTAGGAGCTTGCAGCTGCCACATCTGTCTGAGAGTGAGCGGGTGATCATGCAGCTGTAATAAAATAAAGAGTGAGAGAGGCTGCATGAGACGGTCTCCAGCTCAGGGCTGCGTTTGCTGCAGTCGCCCACAGGAAGGTGTTCTGCAACATGCGCTCCCAAGACACAAGCCGCGGACCAAGCGCGAGGGCCTCCACTCATTCATTCTGAGGCTCTTTGTAGATGCACATCTTGTTTACTGAGGCTGCAGATCTGCGTGGAGGAAAGACACCTTTGTCTATGAGCAGTGGCGTGAATAGACGAGTGGCTCGACTTTCTCAGTCCCAGCAGAGTCGCAACGTATCCGTTCATGTTTTAATGAAAACACATGGAGGTGGTTAACGCCTATGAGGTCGCTGGTGCTCCGGTGAAATGTGTCTCCCTTTTAGCTAACGTCCCCCGGAGCATTGCCCTGCACGGTTGGGGTTTAGATCGGGTTCTGTTGGGCGCCGGGACATGTACCTGTGCAGGCGGTGGGAGGGGGGGGGGGGGGGGGGGGGGTTAGGTCGGTGTTACCGCGTTATGAAAACCCGACTGACTGGAGACGGAAATACACCGGGTGTCGGGTTGTAGTCACGGGG